TCATATGCTTACTTTTATATATTTTGAAGTTTTTTACTAAAAAAAATTTAATTCTGTCACTAATTATAATATGTCAATTTATACGAATAATATAAAAAATATTATATTGTCGGATTATATTTTATGGAGTCTGTTATAAAGTATGAACAGAGATCATGATATTTATTCTATTCCCTCTTCATGTGTGGCCAATTTTTTTATTTCTATAAATATTTACAAAGAAAAGAAAAAAGGATAATAATTGCTGGTTCTTTTTTTTTTTTTTTTTTTTTTTTTCTTTTTTTCCTTTTTTTTTTTTTTTTTTTTTTTTAGCTTTTGCAGCACACAAATCTTGAACCACATGATGGATGTCAAAAAGTAGTGATCTCAAATATATTCATTTTAATGTGTAAAAGTTGTATTAAAAAACTAATGAAAAAATCATTCTAATGTGTAATCAATTTTATTTTTTTTAATCTCGGACTAATCCGCGGCCGCAACAATTTTTACACAACCTTTGCCCTCTTTGGATGAACAATCTATGATGAGCACTTACGCACTAGGTAAATCCCAAATAAGTAATTAATATTCTGCAAACTACACCGGGGACGTAAATCGCACTAGGCAAGCTCTGTGTGATAGACTCGACTCGAAAGGCATTGAGGAGGGATCAACCCCGAATCCAGTGGCGGGGCCAAAAATTTAATTAAGGGTGTCCAAAATTAATGGTTTCTGGCTATCAAAATAAATAAAAAAATATTGTGCTATTTGGGGTTCTAACCCAAACTCCTTCACTAAATGGACACCTAATTACCACTACGCCACAAGCATAGCTTTTGTCAAGGGTGTCCAACTTTAAATATATATCATTTAAATGTAGAATTTGACATATTTATGCAATGTAATTTTACGACGAAGGTTGTCCAACTGGACACCCTGGGGTAGCTCTAGCTACGCCCCTGCCCGAGTCATCCGTGTGGATGATTATCCTCCAAACCAACTTAGCGATCCCAAAGGACCATTTAAAAGCCATTAAGGAGGGATTGATCCCAAATCATCTGCGTGAATAATCACCCTCCAAACCAACTTAGTCATCCCACATATACGACTGTTTAAAAGCCAGGGATTGATCTCAAATCAACTATGTGAATGATCACCCTCCAAACCAATTACTGAACCATATAATGAAATATTATTGATGATATCATCATCATCTTCTTCTTCTTCTTCTTCATTTTTTGCTTTTTCATCGGGCTTAAAGCTCTGTAAAAAAAATCTCATCTTAAAAGAATTTTTTTTTACCATATAATCCTTCGTAAAGTACGGTTTATAATTTAAGTTATAGTAGTAATTAAACAAATGATAATCTTAATTATGAACTCACTTTCCAGAACTAGATATTCCCAACTCATATACGCAATTAAGGGGCTTTTACAAAGATAGAAAATGCCAGCAATAATTCAAATGCTGATTCAGATCAGACACTAATCTTTAGACATATTTATATTCATAGGTATTTAAAGTTAATATTCCAAAGGGATGGGACCTTCAAATAACGATAAAGTTATTTTTGTGCAACATAGATGATTTGAGCGGTGGAATCAATTACAGATGTTTGCGTTACAATAAGCTACCTTATACATCAGATTCTTTAGTTTGGGGTTGTGAGACAGTTGAAAAACTAGAAAATTTGTTAAGGGTATTCGAAATTTAATATATATGTATGAAAAATATTTTTTGACCTATATATACTTCATATAATTTTTTTCTCTCTATATATATTATAATTGTTTGACGAAGGGTGTCCGACTGGCAACCCTGAGCTATGTGTAGCTACGTTTCTAAATGTGAAACCCTTTTCGGAGCTGATTATTACATAAATACAAGATGTTTGGTGCATCGTATTATTTTAATTTTTAGTGAATGTTCATACCTTCATGATTTTTTTTTCTTTCTGAGTACATACTCCTTTTTAATTTCTTTTAAGGACTTCTTTTCTTTTACTTCTTTTTATGTTTTTGAGGAAGAACGTGCTAACGTGAATGTTCACATCTTCATGTTTTTTTTTCTTTCCAGTAGGTTCTAGGGGTCTACATGACAGGGTTGGTTCAGATTTTTCAACTATTAAATCAAATTATTTGTATCGGATTTTTAAATTTATAAATCAAACCAAATCAATAAAACTTGGGTTTTTCAACTTCGGGTTTTATCGGATTTTTTGGATTTTCGGGTTTTTCCGGTAAAGTATTCATACAAACATATAATTTACTTGTACTTCAAATATTTCTTTAGTCCTACCAAAATACAACTATCTAAGGTGTTTCTTAAGAAAATAACGCAAAATATGATATGAGTAATGACACTAAAATATCCACCAAAAAAATAATAATAGTGAAATCGCGTAAAATAAATATTGCAAATTAACAAGTCATAATAAAAATGATCATAATTTAAAAGTACTAAATCACACTAAAATAAGCTTAATAAGTATTAGTTACATGACTAAATATTAAAGGAAATAAAAATTAGATTATGTATTTGAATTGTCTAAACCAATGTAAAACCAAAGAACAAATATTCAATATTATTTTCATTCTTAGTGTTGAATTGATTTTCTTTTTGCATTAGTATTAATTTGATTTTAATTTAAGCTTTATTATAATTACCGACATCAGTGAACTATGATATTTATTGAATCATTCAGAATTCTAAGTTTCAAACTTAAAATAATATATTAAAAGATAAAAACTATGAAAAAGTATAAGAAATATTTAAAAATTATATCAAAGTAAATATTTTTATGTATAAAATAAAATTTTAAAATTATATATACAATGTCGGGTTGGTTTGGTCTCGAGTTGGTTTTATTAGTTAAAACCAAACCAATCCAAATATAGTCGGGGTTTTTTTTTCAAAACCAAACCAAGTCAAACCAAACCACTAGTCGGGTTTTTTTCCGG